TGTGCATTCATAGCTGCAGAATAAGAATGGCCAACATGTCTTTGACTCTAGGATCCTTTATTGTTCCCCATTGGCCATGCTGTTTAGAGCTGCTGAGAATTTTAATTTCAAAATAATGGTGCTTAAGCCAGAAGATAGACCAAGGTCATTTGATGACTGTTGTACTCAGTAAAAATTAGAAAATTTTCTATGCTAAGGGGCAAAATTATAAATAAGGATCTCTTCCTTAGTTTTTAATTCTGAAACAGTAGGTTTTTAATCCATAAAAGCAGCTTGGAGATAAAAAGTGCTTTGATTGCCCTAATGAATTACTTGTACTTGGAGAAAGTATAGCTCTGCCAATTCTGGACCTCACTGCTTCATTCAGAACCATAAATCATGGGGATTTATAATACTTATACTGAACGGGGTTCATTCATTCATGACAGAACTAAATCACTGTCTCACAGCTGTGAGATGGGCAAAACAAACTAAAATTTAATTCTTGTAGAATAAAAGTATTGGTGGTGGTAATATTGCTTGATTTGGGAATTAGATATGCTACCTTTGAGCATTCTTCTTGGAGATAAAAGTGATAATATGTTGCAAGGAATATTGTGATAAAACAATTTCTGAACATTATTGATTTTCTAATTACCTCAGGTGAAATTATGGTAACATGGCATATGTACAGTGATTGGTGAAAATAGTGCACCCAGACTGCTGTTGCTGCTTAAAGATATTTAAAGACTTAAAACAATTTAAAATTTGGATCCTTTAAAATCATTTTCTAACCTAACTTTTTGCCTATGTGTCTCACTTGTCACCTAGGAACTATATCAGATCCTAAAAACTACATTACAATATCTGCATTCACAATGAATATCCATCATATGTGAATTAAATATATATCTCCTGTGAATCATGAAGGAAATCTGAAATTGAACTAAAATCAGAAACCACAAAAAATATCTATAAGCAAATAACAGCAGGTCCCTGGTTCTTCTATAAGCTGTCACCAGAAAAAAAAACCCAGATAATTTCAGATAAATCAATCTGACATCAGTATCTAGACCAGTGGTGGCGAACCTATGGCATGCACTCGGAGCCCTCTCTGTGGGCACGCGCGCCGTCGCCCCAGCCCCGCCTCCCCCCGCAGCCCCCCTGGAAGAGAGTCACCCCTGGGCGCAGCCTGCACGGGACAGCGCAGCCAAGGACATAGCCGGGCAGCAGGGACAAGACTCCACCCTCATGCCCCATAGCGTGCAGATGATGCTGCGGGGTGAGGGTAGAGGGCATGGCTGCCATGGCATTGCAGGGCTGTCATGGTGATCTGCAGTGGGCCATGGAGGTGGGGCGTGGCTGAGTAGGGGGTGGGTGGGGGCGGAGCAGGGACGGGGCGGGTTTTGGGCACTCGGTCTCTAAAAGGTTCGCCATCACTGATCTAGACTGATTTGAGAGCAGAAGATAAGCTCATAGCTCTACAATAACTGGAAACAGTACAGAGCTGTTGCCAATCAACTATCTTTGACAGTGGAGACAATTATGGGGATGCTAGGTACAATTCAGCTATTTAAGCAAAAGCTGGAAAGCCATCTGTCACTGAACTTATTTTGAATTCCTGCATCAATAAAAGTTCTGTCTTTCAAATATGAGCAAGGGAATAATAGATTGAGCAAGGTAGAATGAGATGATAAAAAACTAACATATATATTAATTAGAACAACAATATAACAGTTTGAAACAGTGATGCATAAGGTTCAGCATGGAAAGTAAGTTGCATCAGTAAGGTTACCTTACATGACAAGCCTTAGGTAAAGATTGGCTTCGCCCATTCTGCAACAGTACCATTTCACAAGTACCCCAACCAAGGCAACAAACTGCCTTCCCTAACTGGCATTCTCCTTGAATGGCCATAGTGGGATCCTGAATGCACTGCCAGTTCCCAGCAACCCCATGATGATTTCCCTGGAATGGGAATGGGAATAAGCTAACAAGAAAAGGGAGAATTCCAAGCCTGAAACAAAAGATTATAAAAAGCAAAAAGAGGAGCATAAATTGCCATTGCTCAACTTCAGGTTTGGTACTGCTGTTGGTTCCAATACCAGTCCTTTATCAATCAGAATTGCCTGCAGCATTGGTTCCAATACTGGCCTGTCATTCAGTCCTTCATTTATCAATCAGATATGAATGTTGCCAAATCTTCATAACTTGTGGCAGCTCACAGCACATCAAAATATAGTAAAAACATCCAGAGAAGAATAAAATACTAAAATGTAATAATTATTGTGGCTAACAATGAAACTAGACCATCACAATCATGCCCCAAAGACTCGTCTGCAAAAACCCAGTCTTTAAAATCTTACAGAAAACCAGGCTTTTTAGAAATAGGCTGTGCAATATTGTAAGTGCCATGATGGAAAAGCCACTCTCAACACATTCCAAATCAGAGGCACATACTATTACAAGCAGTGTCTCCTCGGATAAGCTCCCTTCAGTTAAATCTAGACAGAGTAGGTTGGTATCTACTTATAGTTCTTATAGAATCACAGGGCTGGAAGGGACCTTGGAGATATTCTAGTCTAGAGATCCCCAACCTTTTGGGCACCAGGGACCGGTTACTTGGAGAGAGGTTTTTCTGCGGACTTGAGGGGGCGTGGTTTTGTGTGCTGCCTGCATCCCATGGATGGGGCTTTGTTTGTGCGGCCCGGTTGCTGGCATGCCAAGGCCCGGTACCGGTCCACAGGGGTTGGGGACCCATTCTAGTCCAATTGCCTGGCCAAACCAGGTGTCTTTATTCCATCCTGGGCAAATAGCTATCACTCTTTTCTTGAAAATCTCCAGCAATAGTGCATACACAACTCCAGGAAGCAATTGCTTCCATGGTTAATTGTTCTCGCTGTCAGGAAATTTCTCCTTAGTTCTAAATTGGATCTCCCTTTAAGGAATTTCCACCCATTAACTCTTGTCATTTCCTGAGGTGCTTTGGAAAATAAGGACCCCAAATTAGTTTGTCTGGCATGATCGGTTTTTAACAAACTTATGCTAGGTTCTAGTGATTGCTTTGTTCATTTCTAGGTGCTCACAAATTTGCTTGATTATCTTTCCCAGGATTTTTCCAGGTATTGATATCAGGCTAATTGGATCTAGTTTCCTGGATCCACTTTTTTTCCCCTCTTGAAAACTTGGAACCACATTAGCTCTTTTCCAGACCTCTGGCAGTTTCCCCATACTACAGGAGCTCTGAAAGATTTTGTTCAGTGGTTCCATTGGCAGCTCTTTCAGTACCCTAGGATGTCATTAAGTGAGGAACACCCAGGAATCAAAGAAGCCACATGGAGGCAATTCTGTCAGGGTTTTGAATCACTTTCTGTTGCCAAGGGCTTACCATGTCCTCAGAAAAACTGCTTATCAGGTGTTTAGGAAAATCCCCAAGTGCCCTCTGGAAATAACAGATCTATCGGGCAACTCACCTAACAACTGAATCATGCAGAGGTCTCAGGTGGCAGTTAATCTTAATTAGATCAATTAGTAATATGACCACAGTAACTGACTAGATAAATAATGAAGGGCACTATAACTCCTAGGCAAGCATGAGTATATAACTGCATGAAAGTCGTTGAGCACAGATTGCTTGAGACAAGCCAATGGAGGCCAAGACTGGAGTATTGCTAGAGAAGCATAACTGAAAAACGTATCTATAAATCAAGAAGAATCCAAGAAATTATTCAATCATCTAAGGATGGCAGAAATCCATTTTCATTATTACAAATTTATCATATACCTTGCAACTGCAGATATATATTTGAACTATAAAACATAGTATTAACACTTGGCTACAAAGAACACGAAAGATACTACTGGCTAGTACAAGAAAAACCAACAGTAGCCGTACATTTACTGATAAATAATGGGCATAAAATTACATTTACGGACACACAGTCTACACATGACTGAAAAGAGAAATTATTAAGATTTATAAACGTTGGAACAAACTGAATAAGAAGAAAGAATCTGAAGTTAAAAAGAATCTGGTTTCCAACTTTACGTTACACCCAAAAATTTTTTTAAAACCCTCATTAATTAACCAACTCCAGGAAGAAGGAGGATGTTTCAAAAAAGACCAATAAAAGCTACCTTCTTTGCAACTTCTTTGAATCAGATCAATTACAAATTCACCATGACAACCCAAACAGAAACTAGCTTTTCAGAATTCCAATGACACAGTCTAATTAGAAATTATCTTGATCACAAATGCAAGACACATACACCCAAGCAGACTAACTTCTCTGAAACTTTCATAGTGTAACAAACATTGATACATGCTACTATTTTATCCATATATTAAAAACTACATGCCAAGTCCAGGAAAAATCACAACTTCAAAAATGTTGAATGCTGGCAGAGCAAAAAGCTGTCAACGGCATCACTCCATTAAAAGCCCCATAGAATGCAACGAGGCCATCAAGCCCCACCCACTGTTCTATGCAGGGAAATTACTCAGGTTTACTAAACTTTTTTCATGAATTTCTTTGCTGCCATTTAAACCTGTTTCCAGATATTTTATAAAATAGTAAAAATTATTTCAGGATTCTGTTTATAATGTTTTAAACAAGAAACATAGGGCAAACAGCAATTATTCCTGTTCCTGTCTATCAGCTACAAAAGAAAAGATATCAGAGGCAACCAGTTAAATGAAGAACAAAATGAAAAATACAGTTTTAATACAACCATTTAAAACAGACATGTCAAACTCGTGACGTTGTCTGACGTATCGGAACTTCTTCCCCATTGCCGGCAATGGGGAGGGTGCGGTTTCCTCGTGATGCGTCCGGCCTGCGGGCCGGCAGTTTGACAGCCCTGATTTAAAACAAATAGGAATCAAGTCTTGCAATAAAAGAATTTTCTAAAATTTATTTTAACATCTGTTCCTGATTTTAGTAATCTTTAGTACTGAGCCCTGCTCAAGAACAGAAAATAGCAAACATGGGACACGCTTATCAAGAAAAAATAAACAGGAAGACTTTATAGTAGCTATATTAACAACTCTTTAAATGTAACACCAGTGTGGCACTTAGGATTCACTATACAATTTAAAAGTATCTGCAAAATTGCTATTTTTAACTTGTCATCTTCAAAAAGTTTTTTTTTATTTATCAGAAAAATTCTCATTATGATATGATCCAGTTGGAAAATGCAATTTTAATTAGACAGCTGTTAAGGAAATAAAATTATTCCTCTAATGGTTAGGAAATCAAATCTCCCTGGACCAGGCTGCCTTTCAGACAGGGCCCATTTTCATATTGGCCAGTTCCTGGGCTCAGGCAAATCTTATAAGCATTCAGATCCAAACAGGTTGACTCCTTGCTTATGTTCTACGGCAGTGGATCTTCTCCAGGCAAATTCTTTGTTTCAGCAATAAGCCTTTTGACTCCCACCATCCACTGGCTTACTTCAGCAACATGGTCCACCATTAGGGAGCGATGAATCTCATCAGCTACATCCCAGTGCTGACTCTTGAGTTCTGAAAAAAATAAGAAAGCACCCCAAATCTTATACAGTTACTTCCAATCTATAAAATATAACCATAAAGATCAATTGGCTCAAATGCCTCCCAAATAACTAGATAAGATCAGCCAATTCCCTCAAGTTCTTATCCCTGCCCTGCAGGTGTTTCCTGGCCACTCTCTTCCCCCATAAGAATTGGGTCAACTAAAACAGGATCTCTTAACAGTAATTGAGGAGACCGAATAAGAGTAGAAAAAAATAGTGACATTTCCCTGCTCTTTTGACCACAAAAAGGCTTACTAAGGCTCTTCTTATCCAATTGTACTGTTGCCCTTCAATTCCAAATAGTGAAAAGTTGTTAGTCATAGAGCTTGAGGGACAACCCCAAATTCGCTCTAAAACCCCAAAGAGAACCTGAGGCAGAACAATAAAATAGATTCTGCTTCCACAATAATCAAAGAGTGGCTAAAAATATAACAGAAAAAATGGTCCTAGTCAACTACTCTCTAGCAGCATTACAGGCTGCTAAGACAACTGCTTTGGTTTAAGTATCCGAGTTCCCTCAGATGGAATTTTGCCAATTCTATCAAAGCAGTATTTCTGCTACCTCTAGCACATAACACAGCTGAGGATGAAGATTACAAAAAGAAACCACCACTGTGATATAGCAGGCCATAGACGTATTCCTTACCTTCTGTTAGAATTCCCATCCTTTTTCTTACTGGGGAAGATAATTTGCCTTGTGTCCACATTTCCTGCAGAATTACCAAGCGTTTATGGATATCATCACAAACCTGTTTCTGAAAACAGAAGCAAATTCTTATTATCAGGTATCTCTTTTGGGGATCATATTTACAAATTCTAGCCACAGCAGAAGACCATTCTCGTGGTCCTTTCCTAAGACACGGGAAAAGCAAAGCATTCAGTAATGCTATGATCAGACCAAATCAACAAACCCTGGAATCATTTGCCTACATAGATTTTTACCCTCTCAGCTAATTCCATTGCATCCTCCTGATGTGCAGTCAGTCCCTTAAGCTTATCTATAAAGACTTTATGACAAGAATTGAATTAAAACATTGTAAAGAACTAAAAAAAAATCTCATATTGTGTGCCATATTTTAAACCTGCTTTCCCACGTTTTGAGGAGATGTGGGTTTCTTTAGAATTTTGTAAAAGTATTGTGGAACTTTAAAAAAAAAAAAAAGACTGCCAGAATGCATGCAGCAAGTAAAAAAAACATCCATTTCACAGAAAGGCAGAACTTCTTCCCACAGCATTTCTTGACACTTTACTTTTCCTCATGGTAGTAGACTTCTATATAGAAAAATGGCCTGTTTCTTGCTAGCATATTATTCCAGAACCTGTAAATTCCAAATAGACAACTCCATAATTAGATTAATTTTTATGTAACAATTAGATAGAAAGGGCTCTCTGTCGAGCTGCAATTACTAATTTTCTGGAAGACTGATATTCCAATATAACCTCTAAGGTCATATAAATGAACATTGGTTTTGCCTGAATTGCAATAATCCCATTTAAAGATGAAACTCACAGCATCATCATTGATATTGCAAACTTTGGGCTACAAGAAGAGGAAAACATTATTTGAATAGGAGAACAACTGGAGACATCTTTAGGTTAGCTCTCCAATGACAGGGAATGAAATGGAGGTGGCATGAGGACCTCTGCTTTAAAAACAGTTACAGAGACATCTTAGTGCTACAATAAGTAGGACATGAGGATGAGACACAATTTCATTCTACAGTAAAATCCTGGAAAAGCTGGTAGCTCTCTTACCTGCACACAGCTCCTACAGTTGTTCAGAGTCTCATGCAAGGAAGAAAGCACATCCTCTATTTCATATTCCTTGTCAGCCTTTACAACAGATGGTGTTGTGGCATCTGCTCTCTGAAAAGAGGTTTGTGGTCCAGGAGGAGGCAGGTTCACAGACTGTGGGACAAGCAGTCCAACTGAGAGAGTAGACACAGATCGTGTTAAGAGAAAGATGTGTACAGCATTAATCCATTTTAGTGCACAGAGATAAAATTGGGCCTTAAATTAAAAATCTGGCAGATAAATTAAGTATAGTTGCTTTGGAAATGCTAACCCCTTAGAATCAGTTACCCCAATTTTGGCTATTCTTGCGAACTGCACATAAATACATTGGAATGGAAATATCAGGGCTGTAGATTAGATTAGGAAATAAGAAAATAATCTCAGAAGAGGCACTGCTGCCAAGAAAACTATATGAACACATTCATGGAGTTGCAATGACTTAAGTTTCCAGCATGATCCAGCAGACCAAAACCAAGAATCAGAACCAAAATAAGGAGAATGGAAAAAGTAATCTGCTCTCTCCAGGCACAAAAAGCGATGCACAGTCCTAAAAATAAAATAATAAAATTATATATATATGTATATATGTGTATATATGTGTATACTCTGAGAAGCACAAAGCTAAAAGCACAAGCCTGATGATGATGAATGTGATTTCATCGAAACGTCGCTATGATACTTCTAATCTTACATGGGAGAAAACCCGAATAACCAAAGACCTACATATCTATCTATCTATCTATCTATCTATCTATCTATCTATCTATCTATCTATCTATCTATCTATCTATCTATCTATCTATCTATCTATCTCTATCTATCTATCTATCTATCTATCTATACACACACACACATACACATATATATATATACATATATATACATATAAAAAAATTAAAAAATAAATAATAAAATAATATATATGTATATATAATCAAAAAAATAAAACAAAATAATATAATAGCGCAGTATTTTTACAGATTTTCAAACCGTTCCCAACCTGGGCTAGAGGCAACGGGGGGGTGCGGCGCCGCTTCGGGCTCCTTTCCTTCTGTTGCCGCCGCCACTCTTCTCCGGAAGGGACCCCGCTGGGTCAAGCCGCTGGAAAGAGCCGGACGCTGCTGCAGCCCGTAGGAGAACTGCGGGGGGTCGTTCCAGCCGCGCTGCTGGTTCCCTGCAAAAGAAACCGACGATCAGCCGCCAGCCTCGCGCAACAAGCACACACGCCACCTTTTCTCCGCCACGCAGCTCACCGGGCTTGACATAGAACTCCGCCATCACCGCACTTCCGCCCGGCGCCCTTGCCTGAACCGGCGAACGGGTCTCCCACAGGCCATTTCCTGTCGTCCGCGGTGACGTGCCGCCCTGTCAGCCTCTGGGCGGAGTTCACGGAGGAGGAGAGGGGGCGTGGCCCTGCCGTCCGACTCGGAGGACACTGGCGCTCCGTGACGGTAGATACGTCTGGAATGGGGCATTCCGGGTAAGGTGCCCCTTGCGTGTTTGAAGGTCGCACACGATCCTTTGAGGGGCGAGGACCGTTTTTGGAGGAAACGATCCGTTTTTCTTATAAAATGCAGAACTTGATATCAACAGTTTTGTATCATTACGTATAGTTCTAATAATTTGTCTAAAACTGTTGGATCTAACTCAGCAAAACTTGGTTCATTTACGCTATATGTATTCAGCCACTCATTTGAGCACCAGTAGAATTGTCAGGAGATAGACACCAAACACAAAGCAAATATAGCTTTAATATATATTAGTTCTTTATTTGCACAATGTAGATAGATAGAAAGTATCACTGAGGTAGACTTGAGTCTATCTTCATCCAGGATTACTTATTAGATGAAAGAAAATGAATTATATCAAGAATGAAACTGAAACATAAAACGTAATGCATTTGGTGATCCATCCTTCTTCCTACCAGTCTCATCTATCCATTGTATAGATCCCATCCAACCTGTGGTCCATGGCCCAGTACTGGGCCGCAGCCTGTTGGCCATCGGGGCGAGGGAATGGCTGGCGACTTGCGCGCATCTCCCACTCACGCTGGCACTGCTGCTGCCGCATGGGCACTAGCGGCCCTGTTTGCACATGCACGGGACTGCTAGTGACCTGTTTGCACATGCGTGTGGGCACTAGTGGCCCATTTGCACATGTGTACACTAGCAGCCCACTTGCACAGGTCCGCAGGTGCTCGTACCACCGCCAGCACCACTGCAAGTGCGCATGGCCCACTTGCACATGCGCACAGCCCATTCGTGTATGCACACAGCCCGTTTGCACATGCACATGGCCCACTTGCACATGTGCACGGGTGCTAGTGCCACCACCGTATGCGTGCCCATTTGCCCTTGTGTTCATGCGCATGCACATTTCCCTGCTCTTCCCTTTCCCTTCGGGCCGCCAAACTGGAAAGGTTGGGGATCTCTGATCCAGTAGTCATTTTCACAATGCTAGTGCCACAGGCATTCAATATTACATCTTTTGAAAAAGAAATCTTCCTTATTATTTGAATCATCAACATTGGCTCATCGAATGATGGTCTGAGTCTAGATGATGCTTCTAATTCAAGTGTCAGACTGGTAGAATGGCCATGTTATAAACAACAGTCCCGTATGCAAGCACTATGCATGCATAGTTTGCTTACAAACATTTTGTTAGAAAGCACTGGGATTATGTGCACCATTTGATCTGCTTATTATGGCCAGGTGCTTGTTTCAGTGTCGCATGACTGGCAACACTACTTATTGATGATGTTCAAATGTTAAAAGATGAATGCAGATTTTACCAAATTAAAAAAAAATATTCAGAAGGGGAAACTATACAAACTAGTACAGTGAGAAGTATGCATAGATTGGTATGAAAATTGGATGAAAATATTGAGATTTGTGGTCCAAACACATTTGCGTGGCATTAGCTTGGAGAATATTGATGTCAATTATTTATTAGTTTTCCAGGAATAACATCATTTCTATTTCTGCCTCACAGATCACGAGCTTACACTAATCCAAACATGTACCTAGAGAATCAGCAGTTACTTTTCTTCTCTTGAGCCTTTTTTTCCAGTATCACATGCCAAGTTCAAACTACAGCTAGGAAAAGAACCATGTTAACATCCACAGTTTCAATCATAAAAAATGTGTTGTTACTGAATGAAGATGAATTGGCTGCTTTGCTCAGACCTATCAATCCCTGGGCAATTGGAGCAAGACTTTAAGTTTACGCAGTGATGGTGATGTTGCTTGCCCTGAAAAGCAAGCAACACCTTCAAATGGTTTTGTGCAGCATTGCTTCTCCCCTGCCCCCCTCCCCCCCCCCAAGCTTGCCTCTCCCTCAGAGTTTCTATGTAGCAAAGAACTGGAAGAAATATGCATAGCATGTCCAGAATCTGTCAGGATTCTTCTTTAGGATCCAGTTTTGTTTGGCTGTATTGGTTTTTTCACTTCAGTGAAGGAGGTTCACAAACAAAATTATGCTAGTTACATTCTTAGCCTGGACGTCAGAGGGCAGTGCCATTAAGGGTCATCTGGGACCACCAAAGTTTGTTTTCATCTTAGGAAGTGTGTAGCGTGGAATGTTTTTGGCGGAAGGTTTCAAAGAAAGAAAGCATTCCCCTCTTGCATGTGGCGGCCCCACTGCTCGTTTTGTGCAAGGAGGGTCCTGTGATGGGAAATGAACAAACGGGTGAATCGAGCGACATTGTCCTTTTCAGCTTCATAATGGAGTGTGAATTACTTTTTCTTCTCATTTGTGATGCCACTAAGCACTTTTGATACTGGACCTATCAAAGAAACACATAAGTTGCAGTGAATTTAGAGATTATATAGCTTACAAAAACCTAAATTAACATATGTTTTGTCCTAAACATCTTCTCCCTATTATATAATGGCAAAGACCCATTCAATTTCCTGTTGACTAAAAGATAAAATATGGCAACAGTTTACAGTTTGAAATGTCTTCCTTTCTTACTTCTCAAGCTAGACTACAGACAAATGTTGTTTCCCATTTCAGTATGACTAGGTTCAACCTTGCCTAGCTTTTTCAAGTTCAGCCAAGATGCTGTAAGCGTCTCTCCTGATATTGTAAGAACATACAATCCAGTATGTTATTTGGAAAAACCTGAATATGTAAAATATTATGGTTTAATTTGAAAATAATCATTCAAAATTGCATAAAGGATACTGCAGCTAGAATTGGCCAGGTATTTTATAATTCATCTATATAATGATTAAAGCTAAGTTCAATTATTTGGTGATATTCTGATTTTCTGGCTAGACCCTTATTATCACATATGATGCATAACAAATATTACACCAATTAATCTCAACAAAAAATTGATTTCACTAATTCTTAGGATGTTCCATAATGTTAATTAAGGTCTGACTTTCTCTTTTTTCTAGAGCTAGGCCATAGGAAATGGTTCTGGCAGAATGGTTTAGAAGTCCTCAGTTAGAATAAAATATTTCAGGTGGTTTATTCTAGATGGCAATATCCAATATTATTTTCCTCTTTTGAACAAGACTCTTGATCTTTTTATCTTTAAGCATTTCAAGAACAGTGAATACTGAGCCAGAAAACAATGTCTTGAGTGTGATGGGGAGTGGAACCAAGAATGGTAGGAATTTAAAATGTAAGAGGAAGCTTCTGTAGAAGACTAATACTTTTCCTGAAATCTGCTTTGGTTTGTTTTACTTTCACAGCATTTACCATACATGCAGCCTGTACTGCTTCTGAAATGGTTCCAGCATCTGGTTCACACCAAAAAGCTGTGCATTGGAAATGTTGTTTCCCCATGTCAGCAATAAGTCCAAATGTGTGGGCATCTCTCCCAATCCCAATAAAAGTCACGTAGCGTACTTGGCATTCCCAAATGCAGGGATCTTCTTCCTCTTCAGCCTTAAAGAATACAGAACAATCCAATCAGATTATACTAAGAGTAATCATTGCATTTGATTCTGATTGTCCTCCAAGTACCAGTTGCAAGCTTTAGGTGTTCTTCACACAGGAATCAAAAGTATACTTTCTTTCTTTCTTTTTTTTTTTTTTTTTTTTAAAAAAAACCCTATTTCTAAAACAAAGATGAATTATGTGATCAGCCTCATAAATGTGATGCAGTGACTTTTGTGTATGGTAGTAGGTGGACATCTTGAGACAGACAGCTAGATCATATGCAACTGTAAGACATGATTTAACAAATGGTTAAATTGGTGCAGTGGTATTCAGATAACTATAAACTATGCTTTACAAGTCACCATGGCTGAATTTTACCCCGGCAAATTCAAACAAATCACATTATGGTGTATAAATCCAGCAGACAGGGCTTGAAATCTCTAGTTTATAGTTTAATGCAATATGTTAAAAGTAAACATTATTGGAAGAATAACATAATAGGGCTATGTGTTTTGTAAATGTAAATTCCATTTTGCAGAAAGCAATACTTAGTGTTCATTGAAATCAGTGGAACAAATAGGATGTAACTATATCTGGATGTATCAATATTATTAAGCAGGTTAATAAAGGCGAGAATGACCCTTTAACATAAATTGAAAAAAACATTGGTTGTTTTCAATTTATATTTAATAAATTAGGTTGAACTATAGACAAACCCCAACCAAAGTTAAGGATACTAAAGTTCTCCATGAGAAAGATTAATGGAAGTGCTTAATATTCTAATGAAAATCAGTTGAATTTGTAACATACAAAGCTAAACATATTAAAATCCAACTGACCTCTGTGGGATAATTAACTATAATTGACTCCCACTGGAATCAATGGATCATTGAAATCTTTGTCTTTGGCAGCATCATTTAATACTGACAGCAAATGGCTAGCACAGATTAAAAAATCACTGTGGAACCTCGCCAAAGTAACAAAGTTAAGCTTCTTAATTATCTTCTCCTGAAAGTAAGTAAATGGAAAGTAAGTTTTCTCTGGAAGTAGTGCCAGTTTTTGGCAAAAAATGACAAAAATAGCACTTAGACTTATATTCCACTCCATAGTGCTTTATAGAATTCTAAGCAGTTTACAATATGTCAGCATATTGCCCCTAACAATCTGGGTCCTCATTTTATTAATCTTGGAAGAATGGAAGGCTGAGTCAACCTTGACCCGGTCAGGATTGAACTTTTGGCAGTGGGCAGAGTCAGCCTGCAATACTATATTCTAACCACTGAGCCGCCACCACAGCTCAAAAATCATGATCACATGTCTGTAGGACACGGCAAACAGATGGACCCTATAGCCAAGTGCCCAAAATGTTACTTGGGGGGGCATCATAACTTTGAATGGTCACTAAGTAACCAGTTGTGAGTAGAGGACTACCTGTAATCATTATCTGGATTTTGCAGCCAAGATCTGATCGGGGTCAGCAATCTATGGCCAATAGGCCAGATATGCCCACCAGCCAAAACCGTTCAGCCCTTGGTCCCAAAAAGAAATATACTTATCCAATCCACAACAGGGAGGGAGAAAGTGCTTTCCACCTCCTCAAAAAATGAGGGTAGCAGCAGATGGCTTCTGGCTCCACTATGGAAAAAGACTGCCAACCCTTACTCTAGGTAATAGCATTCAATCAATCATGATGAGAAAAAGTCAAACTATCAGTTTTCAGTCAAGTATTTCCTTGGCTGATTACTCGATTTTTGGAATATGCAGAGTAAGCAGGCCATAGCACATATAGGAGACAGATAGCAAGGTCATACTCAGATATTTGGTGAGAATAGAAATATTCCACTGTGTATAATATCACAAAGAGTCTTACTTCAGTCTGATCTGCTTGCATCACTGAGTCTGAAACACGAACCACAGCTTGAATCCACTGCTCACGGTTACAGCTGCCCATCAGAGTTTCAATGGCATTATTTAGCACATCAATCCCTAAAGTGCCAAGGCAGGAAAGAAATGAATAAGCCAAGCCATTTTTCACCATAAGCTGCAGAATAGGTAATTTCAGGATCCAGGGTCTGAATTCCAAAACTCCAGTCAAGGCAACTTGGCTGCTTAAGATGCCTTCCAAGGCCAAAGATGAGGAAAGGTAACTAAAGAAACCATCTGTTTTGAGATTTTTCAAGAGAACAGCTAGTTTGAGAGAAATATCCATCTATCAAAAAAAAATAGTAACTTCAAACATTTCTACCATTTTCTTTAACTTCACCCTACAGCTTTAACCGCTACACATCATAGAAACTTGTAATAGGCACAGTAACAAGATGACATGATGAACTTGTTGATTTCTTGACAAACAGTTATTAAAGGGATTTATTATAGGTTTTTATATTTAATTTTAAGGTGAAACAGAACATCAAAGAAAAGCAGTATTTAACTCTTCGTTCCTTAATCATTTTCTAATCAAATCTATGCTTCAACCTTATTCTTGTCACTTCCTGTTAACCCTAACATGGCTTAAACTCAAGAGCAAACTACAATACGAACAAAATCCAATGGATTTTCATTTCAAGTTGCCAGATCTCAGTTGCAAAAATTAGGGTTGGTAGTTTCTCTTTGCTGCCATTTATCAGGTCAGCAAATGGCTGCAGATATTTGCAACTCAGAGCTGATAGCGTTATTGATGTGGTCAGTGTATCCAGCACAGAGAAGAAAGCATTATTGCACAGGAATCTCATCAACAGAATAATTCCTTTTTCCATATACCAGGCAAGATTCCTGTAAGGATAAAAATAAAGCACCAATTGCAACTTATAATGCAGAAGTTAGTTTCATAACTGTAGAAATGCTAATAAAATAGACAAGATTACACCTTACAATATTTATGAAGCCAGCTATAAACATAAGTTGCAGAAGTCACTAAGAAATACCTACCCATAGATTTAGATACTGGTAAGCTGCCGATATAGAAAGCTTTGTATTTCTGAACAGATTTTCTCACAGCATCAAATATATCAGCTGCAGGAACAAAAGAGAACAGATTTGTTGCAATCTGTTGTTCAGAAAATAAATCTTATTGGAAATAAGGAGATACAGAAACATGGCACTTGGAATGAGTAATCAAGTGTTTCCTCATGATCCTACAGTAAGTCTTACCGAGTTCATTCACTGGTCCCTAAGAGTGCCATCAATCTAAGAAATGGAAGTTTTTATAGGAGGTATCAAATGCTGCATTGCAGGTTATAATAATGGGGCAATCAGGAGCATATCAGTTCCTTCATTGTCTGAAAACAAAGAATACCAGTGAAATGCCTCTGTAGATTGCCAGAACACAGAGACTTCAGTCTGCCAGTAATGTTTTGGTGGCACAGGTGGCCGGCAGATGTGTTCTTCACCAATCACCTCTCTGACTTCCCACCCATTTCCTGAATTATTCTACAATTATAGCAAACATTCAGTTGTGTATTTTCAAACTGGACGGTATGATGATCTGCTTTTACTGTGTACTGTAGTTCATGATGCATCAGGAAAGGTATGAGAGACCTCGGAACCTATTCAGTGAAATGATTTACCACACATAAGATACTGCGAAGGTCAGACAAAATCCATTCAAAGATAAAGGCACCAAGCAACAAATGCCAAGTTGAAATTCAACAAATCAACTTTATATAGCGAAAATGCTGCTTTGTTATTCGATCTTTCATCCCAATGCAGAGGTTCTTTCAGGGGTAAGGTGAAGAGTAGTGATTCCTAATATAAGAGCCTGAGGAATAATCACTACATTTCTGTAATTGTGAAGAAAAATATAACGCATGTAATTAAAGAAAGTTGGTCTAGAATCTTGTTACCTTGCAGAGATATGTCATTTGGAGAAATAGATTCAAGGGTGATGGATCGAGAGAGGCTGTTACTTGCCACTGCTTGCTCAGCCATAATCTGTAAGATAGAAAAAGGCCATTACAGCTTAAAGCCTATCTTAGTATGTTTTTATAGTAAAACCGAGGAGCAAAGTGCAAGGGTTCCAAGTGTTAGGGCAGAAATAAGAACTCAAATAACAAATCCCCTTCCTTCAATAAATGCAATCCGATCCTCTTATTAGTTGAGCTTACTAACAGGTGCACAACTTAATTAGCACTTTGCTGCTTGACTACCAACCACTAGAAGTCTGGTTCTGATGAAGCCTGTGGAGAGCCTGGTTCAAAGGAATTTTTTCAAAGCATTAACCAAGTGGGACCCCTATTGACAAAATGAGGCCAAACTGCACAATTTGTACACTTTGATGACTACCAGGGATGTTCACAAAGTATAGTAAATACTATGTACATACAAAAAAAGCTTCAATCATATGACCAAATCCATCTTCATAATGACTCCTTGCCTGAAACCCAACTAAAGGTCTGAATAATAGATTCCTTTAGGATTCTTTGCTGTCCAACCACCTTCAACAATCTACACCCCACCCCAAAAGAAGGCTGGAGACAGATCAATAGTTACCCAGTTTTTTTCTCTCTTTAAGCTGCCTCAGGTGTCACAATGTTGCAATTCTAGACTGAAAGGCTCCGGCAATTGTGAAAAGCTTTAGCTTTAAATTAAGCCTGTTTACCTTCAAAGAAAACTTTCTAAAAGCCACAGACAAACTCAATTAAAGGGGGTAAAACTAATTACATTTGTTTAAAGGGATTAAACCTTTCCTGTTGTCTTTTTCCCCTTCCCCCACCCAAACCACGTTCTTTTATAGCTTCTTCTCTCCCCTCCCCCTTTTTCTTCAGTTCACTTCCAGCTCCCAGCTGCTTCGGGAAGCGCCAATCAGCTGGAGCCAATCAGCTGGAGCCCTGCCAGCTCCTGGGCTTCTGCTGAGCCCAGACAATCCTGCAGCTGCAGCTGCCTCTCCCTGAGGCTTGGCTCGCTTCAGCTCATTCCCCTCCCCTGCTACACTTGGCTAGCAATCGTGTACCACCTGCCACGTGGCAAAGTACCACAGGTGGTATGCGTACCACCGGTTGAAAAGCCCTGCTCTAGGGTTGAGATGTTATTAGCCCCTCCCCTATTTGGGAGAAGTGACCAAGCACACAAGCTATAATTTAAAAAGTCACAAACAGGAAAACATACAAGTGTTATTTTCAGTTTAACATGCACATCTAATTACAAGTTTAGGAAATAAGGCATTTAGTGCTGTTAAATCACACAATGATTCTGACAAACATGAAGAATTCAGACAGTCATAGATGCATGGTGGGTGGGATCTCCTGCTCAAAGAAAACAAGATGGAACAGTTTATACACAGAATAGAAAATACTAGTAATAGGAATTATCAGCAAAAAAAAAGAGGTGACTTCAATCACTGAGACAGAGAAAAGAAGCTGTTGCTTTAAAGAATAGTCGATAAATGCTGTACTTGCCAAAGGCCAAAACGCTCCTTCCTAATAGTTTTTAACTGCACCACAGTCATAATCAATTGATTTAAAGCAGCCTCTCCTGACCCCCCTCACTTATTCCTAAAACCATCAGTTTAGCAATGTGATGTGACTGCAAAAAAGGGCAAATGCAGTGTTAGAAATACAGCTTCCAAGACTTTGAGGGAACAAATGGTAAATATTCTGATTAAATTGTCAAATTGTTGTGATGTGAAAAGAAAAAAAAAATTTTTTTTCTCAAGGTGTCACGTGCAGATTGGCCACCAGGGGGCGCTGCTGCCCTGCTATTGGGCCTCTGTATGGCTTCTTTCTAATGGCATAGATGACATTCCAAAGGGAGGGGGGAGTTTAGCATCTTTCGCCAGTATTGCGGTTTTATGTAGGAGAGAAAGCAGCTTAATGGTTTAATTGCCTTCTGAGCTTAGCAACCGGGTTGTCAAGGAGGGCAATTAAGGCCGTTTTATAGCCCGGAAGGGGCCCCTCTTTGCTCCTCTCTGAAGAAGAAGCGATCTGTAGTTGCTTTGTTGATTTAAACATTTAGTTTTTAAATCCTTGTTGCATTAGGCAGGGTGGGAGACAGGCTTCAATCTTTAAAGCAGTGAAGAGTGCATAATAAGGGGGGGTGTTGCCCCTTCCAAGACTCTACCTGAACTTTAGAAGCAGTTTAAACAGTTCTTTTGCAATCGGTCTGCTGAATCACTTCTCTCATTGCCCGAAGCTTTGAAGTTGCTAGCAGGGGAAAAAGGAGGGGGGAAACTGCCCACGCTCTTTGATTTTCAGAAACGCAGCCTTCACAGGCAAGAGTTTTGTTGTTTTAAAACTTGGCTTGCAGAGATGACAGCAAATAACAAGACAATGCATCTGAATCACACCTTCAGTCACTTCTAGTTACTTTCACATGCAAGAGAATTTTGCTTGCTTCTTTAAAATGCAGATCAGAGGAGAATTAACCCCATAAATTTACTATTGATGGAGATCAGAGGAGAATTAACATCTGTCAATTTACTATTCTGTTCTGGACAGGAAACTTGCTCAATTTCAGTCTGGAACAGATAGATAACTCAGAGGAACAAACAGGAAATATTGCTTTATTCTGGGAATCCTAAACAATGACTTACAGTTTGTAGAGGTGCATCCAAAATAGGTTTCAGCAATCTGATTGTCCCACAGGTAAATTTACATTAGATTTTCCCCTCTTCTCCCAAGCGTCACATGGTGGGGTGATTGTGGAGTCTCCAGCCGTGTGGCTGCATGTGATGGCCGAAGAACAAAGGACTAACCCAGGCTAGTGTCCAGGGATGCCCTTCTGAAGCTCCGCCCCTGACCCTAACCCCTCCCCTTGACCTGTTACATAGGAGTACATAGAGTTATACAAGCTACATGGATCTATGTGATCCAGAATAGTAAACTGTAGCTGACTCTGCTATCAATGCAACCTGGTTCTTGCTTAATCTCTTCTAGAATGAAGAGTTGGTGAACAATAATTCAGATTTTTTTTTCAGACTGAAATTTCATTAAAAATTGGATAATGATTTGATCATTTTATTTCACAAGAAACCTGATACATAATTGTGAAACCTATAAGAACTCAATCAGCTCTAGTTCAATTAGAATTAAAAATATATGTATGTGTGTGTGTATTATATGTACACATAAACTCTCATAATAAGATGGAGATATGTGGCATGCTGTGGCATGCTAAATCTGCTCTAGTATAATTTCTAGAATTTCTTACTATTGGTCAAAATGACTGGAGTTGGGAATTATAGTTCTGTAATATTTATAAATGATACAGGTGCCTACCCCCTATTGTAAAAGAACCATTATTCCTATTATCAAATAGACTTTTGGATTGTAGTAAACCTTTCATTCAGGTTAGTTTTTTTTCAACTATCAAAATATTTAAACAATCACATACATCTCCCAATATATATAAAATAAAATTTATAGTACAGAATATAGGCTAGACTCTCCTAATTCTAGATGGGCAATCCCACAGAAGGTTGTGGAAAATAAAAGGGCTAAGAGCCTTGGGATTTCCAGATCCAGGCAGGCAGGCAAGTACTGTCTGATCAACCGGACATCATAATAATAGACAGACTGGAAGATAGCAGTAGTGATAAATGTAGCAGTACCAGGTGACAGCAACACCAGAAAGAAGGAATAGGAGAAGTTGGAGAAGTATCATATTAAGGCATCTTCAAATTAAGGCATCTTCAACTTTGCTTGGACACATCCAATGTTGAGGACTCTACTACTTTTCTTGATTGTTGGTTCTTCTATAGAACCCTTTTTACAGTGAACAGTTTCTTCTTGACATTCAGTTGGAATCTGCCTTCCTGTTGTTTAAATCCATTATCCATTGTCCTGTACTCTGGAACCATAAGGAACAGTTTTTGACTTTCTTCTCCATGCCATCCTTTCAGGTATTCAGAGTTGTATCAAGAAGATCTTTCAATAATCTTTTCTGTGAATATGTCTCCTGCAGCTGCTTTTTATAGGTCTTACTGCCCAATCCCTGGTTACTTCACTGCTCTTTTTTGATCCTGTTCCAGTTTGCTACTTCGTTTATGCCTGCTTCCTAAAATGGTTATTTGAGAACCAATGAATCTATATCAAGGTTATAGTAGACCACCTGAGTGGTCTTTCCTTTATTAAAATAATAAATAGACTTCCTGGTGGTAATTTAAATAATTAAAACCTAGATTTCATGAGCAATGACTAAAATCAATATTATTTAAATGAAATCCTCTGCACCATTATATGTCACCATCATTATGTCTGGCAATACTTCATTCACCCCATCCCTTCCCAAACCTGTTCCCTCCATTGCACATTAGATAATTGTCATAGGCAGGAGGCCTGGCAAATTTCATTAGGACTTCAGGAATCTTCAGCCCACCATCTGTAGGAGGAGACTCAGACTGCTCACACAACAGGTCACCTTCGGGGTAGTACAGTGAAACTGTGCAGGGGAAATATAAGCACTACCGTATATAGAAAATAAGCTGGCTGCTACATACAGAATGCTGGCAGGCTACCAGCTGCCACCTGGATCATAATTAAAATCTCTTGTTTGCAAACTTACATGATTACTGCATCTGTTCAGATGATGAAGACAGACATACAGTACAACAGAAATACACAAGTGAGGCATAAATCAAAATAAAGTAGCCACCCATAAAATGGAAAATGGATCAACAGGACTGCCATGATTTATTTACAGGCAGGCTCAAAAAGGATAAAACATTAGAACTTGTTGCAACTTATATCTATAATCTGCAAAAAGTCCATTTCAATATATAATTTGTCATATGCCTTGAGAACAGTGCCTGATTTATGCATAAGTTAAACAAGCTATAGCTTAGGACCTCATAAAATTTCCGAATATCAGTTTTCTGATTTTGCAAATGAGTTCATTATTACTTACATTAATAAAAGTGATCCTGATAACTTATTTTGTCACTATTTTATATATATTAATGTGTCTTAAAATTATTTTTAAGATTTCATTTAAGTATTATTTCCAGAATAACGAATACTATATTATAATCTGTGAGAGAGATCAAGCCAGCCAAATGATAAACATTTAATCAGTACATGCATTCATTTGAAAAAAAATGTAATTTTTTTGTTTTAAATACCTCCTATATACGTTTTCATTGTTTTTTCTAGCAACCCCAGGTCCTGTTTTGGTAAGCACTGGTGAAACGTCTTAACAAGGGGCCTCCAAGCTTTATATAGCTTAGGGCAATATTTCTCAATCTTGACACCTTAAACTATATGGACTTCAACTCCCAGAAATCCCCAGGCAGCATTGAACTCTGGGAGTACATGATGTCATTCAGCACTGAATTCTGGTAGTTGAAGTTCACACAGCTTAAAATTGCCAAGGTTGAGAAACGTTGGCTTAGGCCCTCACCAAGTCTACATCTGGTACTGCTTGAGTGTTTCAAAACTAATTCATTAACTTTTCCTGTACTGTTCAAAAAATTCCACTCCACTCTTTTCCCTTTTCTTTTTACTTGTTTTGATTCTTTGTTTATTTCTCCCAAGTTGCTGTTTTTGGTACTCGTTCTTATAACAAATTTTCTTTTCTTTCTTGCATGCTTTACTAGATGTTATTCCACGGGGTTCAACACCTCTTTCAGGAATTGCACTCTGGACCTTCACATTTTAGATGACTATAGATATCATCTAAAGCTATCCAGGTCCAAGCACACAGTATATCCTAGTGGCCAATGCAATGTAAGAATACCACATAGGATATACCCTAAATAGAAAGAGCAGTTATGCAAACCCTGCTGTATATGGGGGTGTGACATAATATTATAGCTGTATCTTCTGCTCCAAGAGTTTAAGGGAAGGTGGATTGGACATATCATTATGCTAATTCCTTCTATGCAAATTAATCTCCAAACATTTGTTTTAAAAAATGAAGTACTACCTATGCCTTCAGCTTTGTCTCTTATCCACATATGAAGGCATTGTACATTTCAGGTAAGTCCTGAAGAAATATAGCTGCTATAAAAGTTGCTTTTTCTTTCTTCACTAATCCTTCAATATAGTTTCACTACCTCTAAGCATATCCTGTGAATTTTTGCCTTCTCCTCTGCTATTATATTCTCAGATAGAATATTAGCTCTCTCGTGCAGTTTCCTGCATGAGATTTGAAGTATTTCTATTTCTGCTTCCTCCACTTTCTAGTCTGCATATATAAATTGTAGAAGAGAATATCTGCAGCTCAGAGTTGGAGTGTGGAATTCTTGGGGTTCTCTAAACTTGGTTATTAGCTGGCAGATGTTTCATTACCCGACAAAGTAACATTAATAGTGTGAGTGATATTACATAGTTGGGTAATGGAAAGTTTGCAGCAAACAACTAAGCTCAAAAAGCACCAAGGAGGCCACAATGCAAACAGTTTACAACCATTCAGAATTACACTAAAATGATGCAGGCTGTAAACATTTGTATAACTGCTGTTAGGTATAGCAACATAAAGTTTGCAACAGATACAGTAGCAGATTAAGATTGGGGGAAAGTAGGAAGGAAGGGAAAAGATGCCAAGCAAGGATTCTGGAATTGTTTCTGGCACCTTTTCCAGCCATGGCCACAGGGTGTGTATGTCTCTGACTTCTTCTGTGCAATTAAGTAATGTGTCATATACTGGCATGTGTGTGTTTCTGCTTGCCCCCATTCCCCATTGTTTCTATGTGTGTGCACTAGGAAGCATGAGTGGACTGTATATGCTATAATCTGAGTCGTATAATCTGAGTAAGGGGGAGGGATTTTCAGGATTTTTTCTTTCTGCCCTCCTAACTTCATCTTTCAATTTTCAGAGAATTATCATGCAGAGATAGACTGGCAAAGTCTTTACTCCCTTTAAATAATTTTCCATTGATTTGGAAAGTATATAAAGAGACTAAGATTATTTTAATATTCATTTTGTCTCCCACTCCCGCAGAATGAAACATCAGTGACATCTGTTACTTAGTTAAAGTACTGAAAACTCTTCCTGCTGCACTAAAAGTGCACCTCAGAACCACCTTTCCATATGTAGCATATGTGTGTCTGGATGCACATATACATGATGTTTGTGTGCGTGTGTGTGTGTGTGTGTGTTTACATATAAATGTAAAGAACTGTGCTACAAGTCAAGAGGGATACCTTGGAGCACATTTCATGCAGAGCTTTGGCAATAGCCTTGCCAGGCACATTGCAATGGAAGACATGGCACTTCAGCACACACGTGTCCTTGTCACTGGCCACGAAAGCAAAATCCCTGCAAGGAGAGGAGAGCCCAATGAGCAAGAGCAGGGCTCCAAGCACTAGCTTTGCTTCAGGAGGAAGAGGAGAACTTACCTGTCCCTTGATCAAGCATAGCATGTAGAGGGAAAAAAGAATGGTTAATGAAGAGTATCTGAAGCAGGTACCCCGTTAATAGCTTGGGAATAAATGGTGATCGCATGTGGAAAGGGTAGCAGAAGATCCCATAGGAAGGTCAGGGTGGTGGTGAGTAATCTTAAATCCTAAATACTAAATTCAACAGTATCTATACCTTAATAACTCACTATTACAACATGTAGACATGCCCTTGGAGTTTGGTTTCAATAAGGTCTCCTTTCTCTGACCCAACCATTATTCCTCACCTGCCTTTGTTGCAGCCCACACCCCAAACACGAATATTGATGATGGGCTGGCAATGGATGAGGCTGTGATCCAAAGGATCTACCAAGTTCATTGTGTCCTCCTTGAGAATCATCATCATGTTTTGACCCTGTTGAGGAAGGCCAGAGAAATGTGACTGGTGCAGGAATGAAAATCCTTCTGCCTAAGGCATGTTTAGCAAAAGCTGTAATAATGGGGAAGGACTGTGACTGGGAAGACTATCGTCAACTTAATATCCCTCTCAATATAATTAGAAAAGAAGCCTAACAGCAGTGATTGAATAGGTCCTTATATAAAACACCTGAGCTCTCAGCATAAATTTAACTAAATTCATTCACAGAGTCTTAAGAATTATATCATGAAACAGTTCTAATATAAACCTAATACTAAAATCTACTCTTGAACAAAATAGAGTACCTGTGTTTTTCACTATTTTTTTTTGTTTTGTTTGAGGAAAGCACAAATGATAGCCAGTTTGGTGTAGTGGTTAAGATAACCAAGCTAGAAACAGGGAGACTGCAAGTCCTGCCTTGGGCACAAAGCAGGCTGAGTCACCTTGAGTTAGTCATTTGGGTCAGCCCTAGGAAGCAGGCAATGGTAAACCACTTCTGAAAAGCTTGCCGGCAAAACTGCAGGGACTTGTCCAGTCAGTTTCTGAAAATTGGATACATGGAATAGAAGGGGGTTAAAGGGAGGGGGGAGACTTCCAGTTTGATGTTGCGGCATGACAGGCGCAGGAAGACTGGGCTCCATGTTCAATTTCACCTCGCTGGCGACCCTAAAGAGGGTTGAAAGTTGCCCTGAAGAGGCGACAAAGAAGGAGGGGACCTTCGTTGATCACAGAGGGGTGGCGGCCCTTCTGCTGGATCCGAGGAAGCCCTCCAAACCAGTGGGGGAAAGACTGGCTACATTCGTGTGGCCAGTCAGAAGCTGCTGACAACTGAAAACAAGGACTAACTAGCAATTTCTGAGCAATGTGGATAGAACTGGGTGAGACTTTATCCTCTTTTTATGGCCCTAACACTTCTTTCCTGGAAAAAAGAATGCCCAAAGCAAAGAATCCTCCCCGATGAGAGAGGGAAGGGAAGTTATTGCCCTGCTCCCTCAGGAAAAGAAAAGCGGCGAATTAATTGCTTTGGGGAAAAACAGAGGAAACTACAAGATCAATTTGGAACTAATACAGATCTATAGCTTTGAAATTTGGAGACTAAAAGTACCTTTGAAACTTTTTTTAGAAAAAATATTTGAAAGTTTGCAAAATAAGCTTGGATTTGAAAAGCTGGATGATGGTGTCAACGGCATCTAGAGGAGAGTTATGGCACTACAATTTATAATGCTTAAGGAAACTTGGCTTGAAGCCCAGACTCAAATAAGACTCTTTGTTGTTCCTGGACACTTTCACTTTTGTAAGACTGCAGCTGGGAAAAGGGAAAAACAAAAACTCTTGGGCTGCTTATCTGGGTTGGGGACCTTATTGGACTATAAAGACCACATACAAAAACAAAGTGAATGTTCCATACTCAGCCTTAAATGGTAAAAAATCATCTTCAACACCTGTCTCCAAAGCTCCCAGCTTGATATATCAACAAGAAAATGTTAATGAATCTCAGAAAGAAATTCTTTCCATGTTGAAATCAATCCAAGAGACAATTGTTTTATTTCAGGATGAGACTAAAAATAACGCAAATGAGATAAAAGAACAATTTTCTAACCTAAACTTATAAATCCAGACAATGACTGCAAAGAAGGAACTAATAACCCAGAAAACAGAAGGAAAATTAGTAGAAACGGATCTAAAGATGGAGGACCTAAAGGAAGGAATTAACAGACAGATACAGACAAATGAAAAATTAGAAGATGCAGTGATAACACCGGAAATGGAAATGCCATGTGATCTTAGAACACATTTGAGGATAAGGAAGAAGAGCTGATCAAATGGATGATAAAGCTGTTAGGAGAAATGCTGAATATTGACAAACAAGAAATGAAAAGAAAAACTGAAGGAGAAAGATGGAGGCTGTTTAATGAATATAAATAGGTTGAGCGTTCTTCCAAAAACACTTCAACCAAATTCTTTTCCTCATTCCAAATAATATATACAAAAACAGAGGAAGAACTACTTGATGATTTAAATGTACTGACTTGGAAAGTTATTTGGCAAAGGAAGAAAGCTAGAGTAAGTCTGAAGAAAATTGAGGTTCTGATCTATTATACTACTAAACAGATGTTTGAATATGACTAAAAAAATAAATAACCGTTAGAAATAAAAGTATTATTATAACTAGAAGGATAGGATTTGTAACTAGAATATTATACTTTGTTATGAAATGGGAAATATGAAAATTCTAAAAGGGTTTGAATAAGGGAAGCTTTTGGTTACCCAAATATAATTTATTATGAGAAAATTATAAGCGATAAGAGATATTTTGAACATTGATGGGAAATTAAAATTTTTAAAAAGCGGGAAAAACAGGATATTGATTGAATAAATGGATTTTAAGTGCAAATGCAATTGAGATATACTTTGGCTGGAAAAGATATTATAAATTTATACTGTTGATATTATGTATAATACCAGAAAAATGTGATGAAGATGTCTATATTTAATTGTATATGTATTAACAGTAACAAGAATTGTATTTGCCCAGAATGGAAAAATGCATACTAGCGGAAGAAGAGAGGACCAAGGAAACACTGGATGGTGTAGTATTGGACTAGACTGAGAAAGTTAATATGTACCACTGAATTACTAATAGACCCAGACAACACATAGCTTATTAAGTACTTACGATTGTAAAATTAGAAAATTAATAAAATATTCATTAAAAAAAGAAGAAAAAAAAGGGGGGGAACAAATGCATTCATTTTTGACCCAAGCTGTTTCAAGTGTTTTGTCCTGTTCTAGCAGTTGTTATCGGAGTGTTGCTTTACCTTCAAAATCTTTTGAATTTTCCTACTCAGGTCAATACCAGTCACTTCCCTGTTGGTATTGGTTTAGACTGGTTGGGAAGGTTGGGTGGGGGAGAGTTTGGAATGAAATAGAAGGCTTTAACAGCACATAGATGGAACTGGATCTCATTGTAACCCTATACCTGTGCTTCAAATTCCTTTTTGCAAAGATTTTTAAGATAGACATACAAAAGCAGAAGGAGCTAATCTCTGGGCAGGGACTTTTATTATGGTGCTTTTTTCTCCTATATTCCAGTTCCTCCCCAGTCTATTTTAGTTCAGTCTATGGAAAGTTGGGTCAAGGCATCTTGGGACTAGTGGTCTGCTGAGTTTGGCCCTTTTTCTGTCTTCTTCCACATTTCCCTGCAAGTAGCCTGTTTACCAGAACTTTGGGGTTTAGTTTAGGATTTTCTTTTTTAAAAAATATATATTTTATTGATTTTTTTACAATAACAGTCTTTAGTACTTGGTAAACAACATATTGTCTGGGTTCATATATTTAACAATAATCAATAAAAGTTAATTTCTATAATTTCATAATCAACATACTAACTAGGAATACATTTCTTTGATCCTCTCTTCTTCCAGTAATATTCTTTTACCATCATTAAACAAATATAGTTCTTAGTACTTTCAATACATTTGAATATAAACATTTTTCTAGTATTTATACGAATAACAATAACATCAATATGTAGCGTTTTTTCTAATCAGCTTATTTTACAATTGCTTTTGCAAAAAATCATCTTATGTAAATCACTATAGGTCTTGTTTTCAGAATTCTTATTTAAGCTTAATTTCCCTTCAGTACTCAAAACATTTCTTGTCAATTATGATTTTCTCAAGATTAATTACATTTAAATATCCAAAACATTTCGTACAATTAAATCATCCCAGTATTTTAGGTTTCCTATATCATAAAAAAAATACTATACTAGTTATAAATCACATCTCTCTTACTATAGAACCCATTCATATCCAAAATTTAACTATTCTTTTAACCATATTCAAACAAGTGTTTGTTCATATAGTACTCTATATAGTAGGTCAAATCATCTCTCTTGAGTCTGACTCTGTCCTATTCTTATTTAAGCTTAATTTTCCCTTCAGTATTCAAAACATTTCTTATCAGTTATAATTTTCTCCAAGTTGATTACATTTGAATATCCAAAACATTTTGTTCTTTTAAGTCATCCCATTATTTTTACATTTCCCATATCATAAAGAAATACTATACTACTTATAAATCACATCTCTCTTACTATAGAACTCATTTATATCCATAATTTAACTATTCTTTTAACCATATTCAAACAAGTGTTTGGTCATGTAGTACTCCATCTGGTAAGTCAAATCATCTCTCTTGGGTCTAGCTCTCGCCTTCTTCTTTTGCCAAGCAGCTTTCTGAGTCAGTGTGTTCAGTTTGCCAGGGGATTCTTCCTGTATTTTTATAAGTGTTGTTAAAAATGGGAAAGACAAATTGAGTGAAGTGCTTTTGAGGGGGAGTTTCACCCATTTATATTCGTTAAGAAGCTTCCACTTTCCTTCTCCCTCAATTTCTCTTTTCATCTTTTGTCTGCCAAACTCTAGTGGTTCTCCTGACAGCTCTATAGTCCATTTTATCAAATCTTCTTTCTTATCCTCAGTTTTGTTTTGAAGTTCTGAAAAATAAAATGTCTTTTCCATTTCCAATATTATAGCAGAATCTTGCAGATTTTTCTTTGTCTGTGTTAAGCTATGATTTTCTTCATTTGTAGCTTCCATCTTTGGGTCACTTTCCTCTGGTTTTTGTTCTATTGTCTGATTTATTTGTTCATTCTTTGTCATCATTTTCTGAGAGTTTTTTAATTGTGAACTTAGGTCAAGGATATGTTCATTTATATCATCAAAATTATTTTTAATCTCATCATGATTTGAAACAATTGTCATTTGAATTAACTGCAACATAGCCTGCATTTCCTCCTGGAAGATATTTGTCTTGTCTTGAACTATTACTCCTGCAGATCTCTGATATTCTAGACTGGGGTTTTTAGAAAAGAATATTGAGTGTGGTTTCCTACCACTTTTAGTTGTGTATGCAACCTCCATTTTCATCAAACCAACCAGTCTTAAGTTCCAAACACCATAGTCTCATATAGTTCTTATCTTTATGAACAGTCATTTGTTGCCTCTCCAGGGTGACTTTAGACCCATTTAGGGTCCCCTGGCAAGGCAAAACCAGCTGTGAAGTGTGGAGCCCCGCAATCACTTGGCCGCATCACTACGATGCAAAACCAGAAGTCCTCCGGGGTTTAGTTCAGGATTTTCAAGGGTTTGGAGCAATGCATGACCTGCCCATTTGTTTGCTTGCCTCCTGCCTTGAGATTCATTCGGGACCTGGGCTTTATTTTCATCCCTTGATGTCCTTTCTAAGTCTGCTTCAGATTGTTGTGGTTGCTTGCTTCTGCTATAGACACTTTAATTGGCTTTGATCAGGGGGAAACTGTTGCTTACTTTTTCTTTCAATTCAGCCACTCCACTGGTTTCCAATCTTTTCTCCATCTCCAACTTTCTCTATCTCCAACTCTACAAACTTGCAACTGTTTCTCTGACTGCCATACTCAAACACTCTAGGCTTTCTGCTGGGGTGAATTTTCTGTTAAGGAAGAAGCAGGCTGCATTGACAGCTTCAGTTAATGTCTTAGGGAGGTGGGCTTGGCCATGTCAAATTCTCCCAATGCCCAGTAGTTCATAAAATTTTCCTCTGCTGCCATATATGCTTTTGAAAAAGGGGCTGTGCCAGCCCATACTTTATTGCTCAGCTGATTAAATAGTAAAACATCAAACAGGTTTTTATTTCCTGGCTATACCCCACTGCGATTTTTCTTGGTATGAGTCATTTTGTTTAACTTACTAGTTTGACTTTCTGTTCTCAAGGCTGTGCTTTTTGTATTGATAGAAACTGAAAATAAAGCCCAATTTGGAAAATCAACATGCCCTAGAGCCAATTAGTCAAATGTAATGATATCAGCCTACAGTGGAAGAGAAGAAACACATTTGAAAACAGGAATGAAAACACCCTCTGGTGCCAACCTTCATCCAGGCCAAGGGACAAAAGAAAACCCCAGAATAGCTGGGTCCAAGAAATTAATGGCTACATTCCAAAAGGGGGACAGTGGAATTTGGTAAGAGAAAACAGATCTTAGGAGCAGATCTTTTTCCCTCGGGTTGTATATAATAGGCACTCACCTCACCCCATCTATCAGCAGGGCCAAAACTGTCACCATTGCTTTGGGAAAGTTGTTGGATGCAATTATTTACTGCGATACTGCTTTTGCCTGGTGCCAAGTCCTCCTCAGGAATCTCAACCCATCCTAAGGAGCGCACAACGAAACACTGGCAAGAGAGGGGGGAGGGAGGGAGGGAAGAAGGGAGGGAGAGGGAGAGAACGAACATCAATAGGCATCAAACATAGCTTAGGATTCTCCAACCCTCTTTCAGCTATTTAACAAATCTTATGTGTTATGGACCCCCAAGCTATATAGAGAAAAAGATTGCTTTCCCAGTCCAATTTCCAGCCCTCTATGTGTAAAATTGGAGGCCCCCATTGTATCCATTGCTAACTCCTTCCAATATCCAGTCTTTAAAGCAGTATATCAAAATTGAACAGCCCTCCCTCAACAGAGGGAGAGGGATACAACATCATCTATCTCAAGTCTACAACACAGTCCTTTCAACAGTTACAAGAAGGCTCCACACCCATTTGCACCACTCAGGTGACTCTGAAGACATAGATAAGCCTCCAGGTAGCATTAACGACTCACTAAAAGAATGCAAATGAACTGCAAGGAGTATAAATTTTTCCATTCCCCCCATCCAGTCACAGCTGAAGAAGCTTCTTGGATGAGAAGCAAAACGTTGTCAAAGAAAAACAAGAAAGTCCAGTTGCCTTGTGGAAAAAAAAGCATCTTTCGGATAACTATGACCTGGATGACTGAAAATCTTCATAGACAAAATAAATACCTCTTCCAACTTCTTTATATACTTTATCTTTTTGTATACTTTACACTAAAGTAAAGTCTTTTAGTAATTTGTTAGCTTGTATTACGGTGTTTATTTTATATGCTCTCTCTCCTTTACATGGTGTTTTATATGAACAAAGAATTGTCAAAACTTGTTAAGAAGACTGCAGTTCTAAGCTTATCAAGCAACATGTCCCACTGACATACTTTTGATTGGTCATGCGCAGTACCGTCCTGAGTATGCTGTCAGGGATATTAAGGATGCATTATGAAATGTAGAAGTGAGATTCCATTAGCAGAGCAATACTAAAGGGCGATATAATCTTGTTCCACTAAAATGAAAGTTCTTTGTGTTTGGGTTGTCCCTGGCATTTCATGGCAAGTTCAAAGAAGGGCAAGTCCATGACATTTTAAAAGAACAATACTAAACTTGTTCTACTTATTCTAAAGGTTTTTCCTCGATCAAAAAGCTGAACTGAATGACTCCATGTCCCCCACTACCCCAGACTGTACCTTGGAGACAGGTTCTGGGTTGCCCCGATGAAGATCCTCCTCATGCCAGGCCAGTGATGATGTCCTGCAACAGGGAAAACAAGCAGAATGGCAATACAGGAATTCTCAGGTAAATGAGACAAGTTTCTGTTCATGCTCAGAACAAATGAGAGGCAAATCACTGTTAGCTTGTCATATGACCCCGGGACACTGCAACCGTCATAAATATGAGTCAGTTGCCAAGCATCTGAATTTTGATCATATGTCTTTGGCGATGCTGCAACAGTCGTAAGTGTGAAAAATTGTCATGTCACTTTTTTCAGTGCTGTCGTAACTTAAAATGGTCACTAAATGAACTAAATGTATGTCAAGGACTATCTGTATTTAACATGCCATTCTATTTGATTCAAAATGGTAACCAGCACTTCTACTGGAGGTGGCCAAATATGTATTGCAGGGGACAGACTAACAGATCTTGTAACTGAAATGTTTTCTCTTTGAACTAGAACAGCAATAAACTTCTATATGAATATGGGTAGTCATCAAAATGGAGCCTGCCCGTTACAGTCACAAATTGTGATGGTCATTAAGTGAGGCACCCATGTAATTGCTTCACTTAATGAACTTTATCCCTACTCCCTGTTAAGTGACTATGTGGGTCATTAAGCAGAGCATGTGGTGCCTCAGAGGTGGGGGAGGCCTAGCACAAACCTAAGCCCTCACTACAGCACCTCACCAGCTCACACATGGTCTGCCCTGGTCCTCACAAGGCCTCCCCCTCTCTCTGCACCGCTTCCCACTCCCCAAGGTCCCCATACGTTTGGGCATGCTTTTCCACCCTACTGGACCTCCATAGGCATTGGAGCTGCTTTCCCATCCCAGTGAGTCCCACATCCTCCTTCCCATCCCCAGACACAATTGGTCACTTATTTTTTACTATATAATTCCTTCTGGAAGCAGCCGCTGCACCACGTGGCTTTCCTACATGGTGGGATTGCTCTGCCCCTCAGCCTCCCTAGGCTACATGGCACCATCCCAGAAGTGGATGCCATTTTGGAGAGACCGCAATTCATTACAGCCAGTCCCAAATTGGCACCACTTCTAGGATGGAGCCACGTGGCTTCCATTGTGTAGGAAAGCCATGCAGTGCAGCAGCATCTTCCAGAAGCAGATCTACAGTAAAAGGTAAGTGACGGTGACTGATTGGTTACTGGGGGGTGGGGAAGCGGGTGTGGGACACAGCAAGGTGGGAAGCAGGCCCAAGGGCTGTGGGGCCCCATTGGGGGAAATGAGGGGAATGAGGTGGGCGGAATTCTGCAGCGTTCCTGAAGTTGGTCATAAGGGTGGGTGGATTGCCAAGCAGCAGCTGTAACTTCAAAATCAGGTTTTGGGAGATCCCTCATAACTTTGAACAGCTGCTAAGCAACTGTTGGTAAGTCGAGGACTACCTATAGGAGCAGATGGACATCATTTTTAATCAAGAAAAAGACTGAACAAAGAAAAGGAACTATAACTACCTCCTTGGGCATCTGGGTAAATGATCCGTGTTACTTGTGAGATCATCATAGAAGAAAGTGATTATGTACAGGCTCTCCATGTCTTTCTCTGAGATGTAGTTCTAGATTTACAATCATTCTTTTAGTTTGAACTGTTTGAAGTTACAATGGAACTGAAAAAAGTGACTTATGACTGTTTTTCATATTTATGACTGTTGCAGCATCCCCACAGTCACGTGATCGAAATTCGGTTGCTTCGGTAGCTGAATGTATTTATGACAGTTGCAATGTCCTGGGGTCATGTCATCACTTCTTGCAACCCTCTGACAAGCAAAGTCAGTGGGGAAGCCAGATTCACTTAACAACCATATTACTTATGTAACAACTGCAGTGATTCACTTAACAACTGTGGTAAGAAAGATTGTAAAATGGGGCAAAACTCACTTAATGACTATCTTGCTTAGCAATGGAAATCTGGGGCTCATTTGCGGTTGTAAGTCAAGGACTGCCTGCACCTAGTAGCTCACATTAAGGGGCTTGCATTAACAAGCCTACCTCTTGGAGAATGAAGTCACTGGATTTGGGATCAGTCTCTCTGTTGCCACACATCTAACCCCAGCAGATTGAAGGCCCTGCATAAGAACAGAAAATAAACTCAAGCTTGTTTATTTGTGAGATTAATGTCCCACTTTTTATTCACAACTCAAGACAGTTCTGCTCCAATTTTCCCCTCAATTATCCTGTGAAGTAGGCTGGACTGAGAGAGAATGGCTGCCCTACAGTTGCCCAGTCCAACAACGGGATTACTATATTACACTAGTTCTCCTGATAGTTCTTTTATCAGGAAAATATTAGGATACTATTATAGGGATCATCTGAGCAGAATGTTATGTGGGAATTATTCTCTCTAAGTTATGATTTAGTCCAGGGGTAGGCAACCTCGGCTCTTTTATGACTCATGAACTTCAACTCCCAGAATTCCTGAGTCAGCATAGCTGACTCAGGAATTCTGGGAGTTGAAGTCCATGAGTCATAAAAGAGCCAAGGTTGCCTACCCCTGACTTAGTCTATCCTCTCCAGAAATATCAAAGACCAAAGGAAGCAACAGGTGATAAATGGCTTTCCTTCATATTTTATATATTCTCCTTCTTTACTTCCTCTTTTACCACTTCAGGTGTATTTTATACATAATCTTTATATATAATTTATATATAATTTTATTAAACTTATCAGTGTAAAGTACAAATGAAAGTGAAAATAGTGGGAAAAGAGGAAGAGGGAAAGACAGAAGTGTAGGGTGAAGGGGAAAAAAAGAAAAAGAGCATTAACTTCCAAGTCTTTTTAGTGGAGTAGAATGAACATAATAACATTACAGCCTCAACTTTTACTTTGCATACTCAGTATATACTAGCCATTTCTATAACAAAACCCCCCATGTAATCAGTAAATCCCAAAGTCAATGTTTCATTTTTTTTTTCTATTTCATGCACAAAATCCAGAAGTAGTTTCCAGGTAGAAACAAAGTTAGATGTATTCTTTTCTTTGATCAAAACAATTAATTTGGCCATCTCCACTTGTTCCATCAGTTTCTCCAACCAACCTTCCATTGTGGGAATTAATATATCTTTCCATTTTTGCACATAAAGCATTAGCACTACTATCAACATGTATAACAATAAAGTTCCTTTTTTTTCAAGTTCTTTGTCTATTACAGGGAGGCTAACATCCAGGATATTTCCATTATTTTCTATGGGTTATTCTTACCTTTACCCTATAAATAAGGTAGAGGGGAGAGCCAGTTTGGTATAATGGTTAAGACTCCAGACTAGAAACTGGGAGTCTGTGAGTGCTAGTCCCACCTTAGCACCTCAGCTGGGTCCTCTTGGTCTAGTCAGTTTCTCTCAGTCCTAGAAAGCAGGCAATGGCAAACCAACTCTGAAAAACCTTGCCAAGAAAACTCCAAGAGCTTACAGTATACCCTAACTGAATTCAATAAAACCTTCTTCCATGCAATTGTGCATAAGATTACCTGGAAGTGCTTGACTTACAAAGAGAAGAATATCCATAGAGTTATAGTTGTAATGAGGTGGACTGGTCACAAGGCATTCCAGAAATTGCTGAGTCTGGAGATAATGCTCTCTCACACTGTCCTTGACTGCTGCAGCCATATTTCACCCATATCCTGTTTTTGCTTTGCTTAGTAGCCAATTCACTATTTTTATCTCTGTGTCAATGTTCAACTGTCTGGTACTTTTCCATGCTCTCAGGAATGCTGAGATCACAATGTTTAACATATTACCATATATGGGGCCTAGGGGGGTCAGGAAATGCATACGTTGTATAACCTATATATGTGTACTCTGGA